CTTTTAATCCCTTTTCTCCTGCTCTTCTGGCCTGCTGCTTTGGGCATCCCTGAGTTGTCCCTGGGGCTGACTGCTCCTCTGTCCGGGTTCCTGGCTTTTATGCCCTTTCTCCTGTTCTTCCAGCCTGCTACTCTGGGCCGGCCTGAGTTTCCTCTCCTCATCTAATCCCTTCGGCTGATTGCTCTTCTCTCTGGCTTCCTGGCTTTTAATCCCATTTCTTCTGCTCTTCCTGCCTGCTACTTTGGGTGTCCCTGAGTTGTCTCTCCTCACCTGTAACCCTGGAGCTGACTGGTCTTCTGTCCGGGTTCCTGGCTTTTATCCCCTTTCTCCTGCTCTTCTGGCCTGCTAACACAAGGTCAACAAGTAAAATGCCATAGTCCCAAAATCATCAAGCAACACAGCAGACCACTAGTTCAACCCCAGAAACAGTTCCAAGATCAGCAGAAAACATGGCAGTCCACTGGGATAAAGACTTGGCCAAATGCAGGATCCAGATGTGCCAAAAAGCACATAGTGATACCACCTCGGAAACCCAGGGAGGGGTCACTATGAGTCAGGTCTGACTCGATGGCACATAATAACAACAATAACAACAATCAGAATTCCAGAACAGGAAGAGACAAAACCACAGAGAAAATTGTCGAAGATTTGTTGGAAGAGAATTTTCCTGGTATGATGAAAGATGAGAATATATCCATTCAAAAAGTCCAATGAACCCCAAACAATCACCAAGATATATCATCATCAAACTCACCAAACCAAAGACAAAGAATCCTGAACGCAGCAAGGGAAAAACAAAAAGTTACCTACAAGGGACAACCAATAAGACTAAGCTCGGATTTCTTGGCAGAAACCATGCAGGTGAGAAGACAACGGGATGGTATATGTATATCAAACCCTGAGACAGAAAAATTTCCAACCAAGAATTATATACCCAGTAAAACTGTCCCTCAAATTTGATGATGAAATTAGGGCATTTACAGATAAGCAGAAATTAAGGGAATTTGTTAAAATCAGACCAAGCTTACAAGAGATGCTAAAGAGAATCTGTTGGACTGAGAACCAACAACAGCAAACAACTCACTATTAACACACATGATGACATAACCCAGAAACCAACTGTTCTGGTTACCTAGTACCACTCTGAGAGAAATATACCACAAATGGAATGGCCTTAACAAACATGAGTTTATTCTCCTACAGTTTGGAAGCTTTAAGTCCAAGTTCAAAGTGCCAGGCTCTAGGGGCTGGGTGAAAGCCCCTCAGCCTTGGGCTTCAGCTCTGCCTCCAGCTCCCAGCCCACTGAAGCTAGAGGCTTTTCTTCACTCAGATAACTGCTGGCTGCTGAGGCTGCCAAGCCCAAGGTTGACAAGTGAAAAAGCACAGTCTCAATGTTACCAAACCACTCAGCAGGCCATTAATTCACGTCCATTTAAGTCCCCAGGTTGGCAGAGAATGGCAGGCTGCTGAACAATGACATGACTACATGCAGGGTCCAAGCATGCTATAAGCTAGAGGACCATTCCCAAAGCTGCTACTTATATACGGGAAGCAGACCACATACCCAAAGACAGCTACTCAGCTGCTCACAGTACATTCCACCATGGAGTTGATTACCAGTCTCATCATGAGGAATAACTACCATCAGCTGCCCAGCCACCCAACCAGGCCCAGCCAAGTTGACACACAAACATAACTACCGCACCAATCCAGTTTTGGAAGTATCCAAAGTAAATAAGCCTACAAAATTGTAAACAGGGAACCAGAGACATCAATTGACAAATGAGGACAACTACAAACCAAAAAGAAGGAAAAAAAATCTGTAGTTACAGAACTTCTAAATGGTAAGGTAGTCAAGACAACTGCAAGATAGACTGTTCTAAACTTGGGGAGAAAATTATAAATCATAGGGTAACCTCAAAGAAAAATGATAAACCTTCACATCAAAATAAAAGAGAGGACCAGCACAAATATTTAGCAAATACAAAAACAACAGCAATGAGGGAAGTTATAACACGATCCGTAGACAAAACAAGCTCAGCACAGAAAACTATGTGGGACAAAGAAATCAGGAACAACTGAAAAGGCACATAACAAAATGACAGCAACAAATCCATACTTGTTGATAATTACATATCTGACAAGGGATATTTTCTCTACTATTTATAGAAAACTCCACCATCTCAACAACAAAAAGAATAACAATCCAATTAAGTAATGGGCAGAGGATATAAATAGATCCTTTACCAAAGAGGACTTTCAGGCAGCCAGCAAATACATGAAGAAATGCTCACTATCTTTAGCCATCAGAGAGATGCAAATCAAAACAATAATGAGATACCATCACACCCCAGCACTAATGGCAAAGTTCAACATGACAGAAAATAACAAATGCTGGCAAGGATGTGGAGAGATTAGGAGCTCTGGTAGCATAGTGGCTAAAGCACTTGACTGCTAACCAGAAGGCTGGCGGTTCAAACCCACCAGCCACTCCTCGGAAGGAAGGTTGGGCAATCCTACTTCCGTAGTGATACTGCCTCGGAAACCCAAGGAGGGGTCGCTATGAGTCGGGGCCGACTTGACGGCACACGACAACAACAACAACACACTACTGGTGGGACTGTGAAGTGATAGAACCACTGTGGAAAGCAGTATGGCTATGCCTTAGAAAGCTGGAATTGGAGATACCATTTGATCCAGCAATCCCAATACTAGGTATATATCCTAGCGAGGTGAGCGTTAGTACAGGAACAGATATATGCACACCCATGTTCATCACAGCACTATTTACAATAGCCAAAAGACGGAAACAACCTATGTGCCCATCAATGGAAGAGTGGATGACCAAACTATGGTACATACGCACAATGGAATGTAATGCAGCGCTAAAAAATAATGTAGAGTCTGCAAAACACCGCATAACATGGATGAATTTGGAGGACATTATGCTGAGTGAAATAAGTCAATCACAGAAGGACAAATATAGTATTAGTTCATTATTGTAAAAAGTCAAGGAAAGGTTTATATATGGAAGGAAACTTTCTTTGTTGGTTACCAGGAATAGGAGGGGAGGGACAGGAACATTGCAAAAAGAAAAAAAAAAAAGAATGCATTCATTGACCCATGTTACTTTAGACTTGTGTATTTCACGGTATGTAAATTGTAATTCAATAAAATGTATTTTTTTAAAAAATTACAAATAATTAGCTAGACCATGAAGGAAACAAATTTAATTCTGTTTACCTATTTCTGAGCTCTGGTAGCATAGTATCTAAGGCACTTGACTGCTAACCAGAAGGCTGGCGGTTCAAACCCACCAGCCACACATTGGAAGGAAGGTTGGGCAATCTACTTCTGTAGTGATATTGCCTCAGAAACCCAAAGAGGGGTCGCTATGAATCAGATCTGACTCGACAGCACATAACAACAACAACCTATTTCTGAACATCTCATGATTTATTCCCCAACTTGCTTTTGGTTCTTAGCTCTTGCCTTTTCAGATTTCTCCTTAAATCATATCCTAGTCTGCTTATAAAACTACATATTTGCTAATGATATAATTTTTAAAGTACCTATTAAAAACTTATGTTCATATGACCATAAATCATTTGTATATAATGAGCATAAAAATTCACAAAAAAGAAAAATATGAACATTATCTTTATGTCTTACTCTTCTGATTCCTCAGATTTTCCTTTGTCTTTTTTCTTCTCCTGTTTTACAGCTGCTTTCTTTGTTCGATCAGATATAGACTTTGTTTTCTGTGTAATTATATGTAACAAAAAATAAATAGTTGAAGACACAATACATTATAGAAGAATATAATATACATTACTAAAATTTCCATTTTTCTCTTAGAGTCTCACTACACAAATACTAGATTTCTAAGGAAAAGTGTTTGAATAGAAGAAGCAAAAGAAATTAATGATCCAGCCAGAATATTTGTAATGGTACTTTATTAAATATAAGTTGTATATAAGCTAATAAATATGAAAACAATTAAATTCCCCTGAAGAAATTTGTCAGGTCTGCTACTATGTGGTATGTGCATTCTTAAAATTCTTTGCACTATGCAAAATCATGCAATCACAAGTGTAAGACATATGAGAAAAATGAGATTAGGTGCACAGCACTCAGAAACATTGACAATGACACATTTGAAAGTAAACTAATAAAAAGAGAAGTACAGTATTACACCAATTAAATGATTAAGAAATACATAAATACTATAATAAATATAGCTCTTTATCTTGAAAACTATTTGAAACATGTTTGTAGAAGTGAGCGTTGAATAGGTTGTAACTGGTAAGTTACCATGAAGTGTTAGAAAAGGAATTGCCTGGGATTGGATGAAAAGATATAACACCAGGTGTGGACTGATAATGGCACATTATATGCACGGTACACTAAAGTAGCTGGTAAATGTTTGAGCTGTATGCAGGCATGTGTTTTATGTATTCCTACATGGTTCAGTTGAGCCATGTGCCATTTTCTAGTGTTTCTCACAAATGAAATAATGTGTAAGCAAATGTGAAATTTGCATTATACTCAAATTGATCCCTGATATTTCAATTTTGTTGGCACAGATTCACATTTCAAGATAATTATTTTACCAGAACTGACCATATGTTTTAAGGTATTTTTGAATTACTATGTAGTTGTGGTTGTTGTTATGTACCATCAAGTCGGACCCGACTCATAGTGACCCCTCCTTGGGTTTCCGAGACAGTATCACTACGGAAGTAGATTGCCCCATCTTCCTTCTGAGGAATGGCTGGTGGGTTTGAACCGCCAGCCTTCTGGTTATCAGTCAAGTGCCTTAGGCGCTATGCTACCAGAGCTCCCACTATGTAGTAGTAAGTTATTTTATATAAGAAAGCAGAGAAAAAGTTTAATATTTAAATGATTGGATATTTTTTATTAGCTTAATAATAGGGAGCTGGTATCACAACGCCTAAAGCATTTGACTGCTAACCAGAAGGTTGGAGGTCAAACCCACCAGCTACTCCATGGAAGGAAGATGATGCAATCTACTTCCATAAAGATTTTCTGCCTCAGAAACGCAGTGGGGGCCACTATGAGTCAGAACTGACTCTATGGTAGTGAGTTTGGTTTTTGGTTTTATTAAAGAATGGGGCAAATGATTAAGTGCTCAATTGCTAACTGAAATGTTGGCAGTTGGAACCCACCCAGACACACCTCAGAAGAAAAGCCTGGTGTCTGTATCCAAAAGGTCACAGCTTTAAAAACCCTACATAGTGCAGTTCTGAAGAGCTCTGGTGGTGCTGTGGTTAAGGCACTGGACTGCTAAACCAAAGGTAGGTGGTTCAAACCCTCAGCTGCTTCAAGGGAGGAAGCTGAGTCAATTTACTTCCACAAAGATATACAGACTTGGAAACCCAGTGGTGGTTGGAATTGACTCAAAGACAGTAGGTTTAGTATAATTCTACTCTCACATATGGGGTCACCATAAGTCAGAATTGACTTGATGGCAACTGGTTTAGTTTTTATTAAGGCTGAAAGTGCTTATTTGTTTTATTGATCACAACTTAAAACACACATTAAATTCAATATAGCAGCAAAGTTCTCCCAAGTTAAACACAAAGTGAAACAATTCCTTGTAAAATATGAAAAACAACAACAATAATAATTTTAATAGGAATGTTAAGGTCCTCCAATAATGTTCCAGCTTAAATATAAGTTTCTTGGAAACTCTAATATCTACTGGCAATCACTAAAATAATGAGAGAAAAAATGAACTGAAAAATGATGAAAACTGTTTATATGAAAAAGGGAGAAAGATCTCAAATCAATAACCTAACTTCACAGCTTAAGGAACTAGAAAGAAAAGATTAATCCCAAAGTTACCAGAAAGGGGGGGGGGGAGGATTAAAGATAGGGGATAGAAATAAACAGTAGAGAGAATTAATAAACTAATAGTTGGTTTTTTAAAAGATGAATAAAATTGCTAAATTTTTAGGCAGAATGAAAAAGAAAAAAACTAAGACACAAATAACTAAAATCAGAAATGAAAGTGAGGGCCTTACTATCAACCTTATAGAAATTTCCAAAGATGATAACAGCTTTCTATAAACAATTGTATATCAACAAATTAGAATGTCTAGATGAATTGGAAAAATTCCTAGAAACACACAAATTACTTAAACAGATTCAAGAAGAAACAGACAAAGTCAAAAGACCTAAAACAAGTAATTAGACTGAATCAATAGTAAAACTTTACCAATTAAAGAAGCCCAAATTCAATTGGAATTTTATGGTGAAGACTATCAAAAAGTTAAAGAAAAATTTACACTAATACTTCTCAAACTCTTCCAAGCAATAGAAGAGGAGTGGACACTTCTTATTCAATGAGGTTACTCTAGGTTCTATGAGGACAGCATTACCCTGATATAAAACTAGATCAGGACATCAGAAGAAAGGAAAACTATAAACCAATATCTCTAAGGAATATAGTTGCAAAAATCCTCAACAAAATATTAGTAAACCAATTCCAACACTATATTAAAAATATTATACACTAGGAAGAAAAAAAATCCACATATTATACAACATTAATAAAGGGGGGGGAACCTTGTTCATCTCAGTGTCTTTCATGATGAAAACACCCAGAAAATTAGGAATAGAAGGGAAATTCCTTAATATGATAAACGGCATTTATGAAAAATGAACAACTAACATCATATTTAATGGTAAAAGACTGAATTTTTTCCTCTTAAGTTCAGGAATAAGATACCCACTTCCAATCGACTCGATTTGATTCATACCAATCCCCATTGGGTTTCCAAGGTGGTCAATCTTTTATGGAAGTAGATGTCCCATTTTCCTTCTGTGAAGCAGCTGGTGGGTTTGAACCATCAATCTTCTAGTTAGCAGTCAAATGCCTTAAGCACTGTGCTACCAGATCTTCCTCAGAAATAAGTTAAGGATGCCCATTTTCATCATTGCTATTCAGTTTTGTACTGGAAGTTCTAGGCACAGCAATTAGGCCAGAAATAAAGAAACGAAAGTTAAAAAGGAAGAAGTAAAACTATATTCACAGATGGCATAATCCTATATGTAGAAAACCTCAAAGAATCCACAGAAACCTATTGTTGTTGTTGTTGTTGTTATGCGCCGCCGAGTCGGACCCGACTCATAGCGACCTCTATTTGGGTTTCTGAGGCAGTATTACTACGGAAGTAGATTGCCCAACCTTCCTTCCTAGGAGTGGCTGGTGGGTTTGAACTGCCAGCCTTCAAGTGCCTTAGGCACTACACTACCACAGCTCCTATTAGTGGTAATAAATTCAGTAGTGATACAGGGTACAAGATCAACGTACAAAAAAATCAGTTGTTCCTAAAAAAAAAAAAAAAAAAAAATTGTTGCTATACACTAACAACGAATAGTAAATAAATGCAATTAAGAAACCAATTCTATTTACAATATCTTCTAAAAGAATAAAATAGCAGAATAAATTTAATCAAGGAAGTTAAAAACTTGTACACTGAAAACTATAACACATTGCTGAAAGATATTACAAAAAGATCTAAATAAATGAAAAGACATCCCATGTTAATAAACTGGAAAACTTAATATTGTTAAGATGTCAATACTACCCAAAGCTATCTACAGATTTTACCTACCTCTGGATTCTTCAATTTTTGTAGCTCATTTTCCAGCACTGATTTCTCCTCAGATAACAACTGGAAATCACTTTGCATCTTACTGTATTTCTAAAAACAAGCTTTATCATTTTAGTAATAATAAAAATATGAGTATAGAGAAGTTATCTAGATACTTAATTATTAATACAAAAAATCTTCATTAGCTCATGGAAATAATGAACCATTGGTATTAATCTGTATAATGAAGCTATAATTATGCCTAAAAGAAGTAAAGGAAAAAAAAAGTGACAATGAATGGAAGATTGGAAGACTTTGATAAAAGAAGGGATATTGTAGTTTAATATTTTATTAGTGAAGGATTTCTGAATTATAATAAGATCTAGTGAAATCTAACAAAAAAGCATGAATAGGCAAAGCTTTCATGCTCACATATGCATAGATATCTCCTAAATAAACTGAGAAAGCATTGGATCTTTATTTAGAATTATGTATCCTTATAATTTCTAGAACCTATTAAAGCATCAAGGGTAAAGTGCAGTTTCAACTTAAACATGCTATACTTACGGCCTCTAATGAATCATGTTCATTTATAGCTCTGAAAAACAAACCAAAAATTTCTATAATGTATTGTCATTTTACATTTATGATATTGTTATTTATATAGCATATTAATTCACTTTCCTTGTAAAATATTAAAATAATATAGATAAGATACTTTGACTACAGTTCCACAAACCCAGTTTTCTACCCAGAGATAATATTAAATTGCTACTTATCTTTCCAGAACTTGCTCTGTGCAGTTATACAATACTGTATATACCTATTCAGTTCTATAATTTTTATTAGTGAGTTGAATTTCTGTTTTCTTTTTCACATAAATGACATCACTGTATGTATTGTTCCCAACTTAATTTCTTCACATAATGTCTGAGATCTATTTGTCAGAATACAGAGATCTATCTCCTTCCTTTTAAATGCTAGCTATTATTCTATAGCAGGAGTTAGCAAACTTTTCTGTAAAGGGCCAAATAGGACATATTTTAGATTTTTCAGACTAGATTGTCTCTGTAACTACTACTCAATTCTGCAAAAGTAGCTATAAATGACAGATAAATTAATAGATGTGACTGTGTTCCAATAAAACTTTATTTACAAAAACAACCTCCTGGTCAGATTTCACTCTAAGCTGCAGTTTCTTGAAATCTATTTCATAGTATGGATACACCATCTCCAAAACAAAACTCATTGCCTTTGAGTGTATTCAAACTCATAGTGACCACCATTGGGTTTCCAAGGGAAACAGATCTTTATGGAAGAAGACTGCTTCATCTTTCTTCCACAGAGTGGCTACCAGGTTCAAACTACTGACCTTTTAGATAGCAGCCCAATGCTTTAACTACAGTGATACCAGAGCACCTATATAGATTTATTTTTAATGAATGTATGTTTATTACAATAAGACATTTTCTAATAGCATTATGTCACAATATAATTAACACACCATGAAATTCACCAATTCAAAGTGTACAGTTCAATGGCTTTTAATATTTTCAACAAGTTGCCAACCATCACCACTATCTGATTTTAGAATATTTGATTTACTCCAAAAGGAAACCCCATATCCATTAGCAACCAGTTCCTATTCCTCCTTATACCTCTACACCCTTGCCAGTAACTAATTTACTTTCTGTCACTATAGATTTTCCTTTTTTAGATATTTCACATAAATGGAATCATAGAATAGGTAATCCTCTGTGAGTGTTTTCAAGGTTCATCCATGCTATAGTATCAGGACTTTGTCCTTTTTTTTGGTCACATAATATTCCATTATATGAATGGATATACACATTTTATTATCCATTCAACAGTTGATGTACATTTGGGTTTTGTCCACTTATAGCTATTATTAATAATGCCATTATGAATATTCAGGTACAAGTTTTTGTGTGGGTATATGTTTTAATTTCTCTTGGTTATTAACCAAGAAACAGAATTTCTGGGTCATAGGTCAGCTATGTGTTTAACATTTTGAGGAACTGCCAAACTGTTTCCCAAACCAGCTACAAAACAGTGTATGAAGGTTCTAATTTCTTTACTTCCTTGCTAACAACTGTTATTGTCTGTCTTTTGATTATATTCACCCTAGTAGGTGTGAGGGAGCTCTGGTAGCATAGTGCCTAAGGCACTTGACTGCTAACCAGAAGGCTGGCAGTTCAAACACACCAGCCACTCCTCGGAAGGAAGATGGGGCAATCTACTTCCATAGTGGTACTGCCTCAGAAACCCAACGAGGGGTCACTATGAGGCAGGTCCGACTCGAGGGCACATAACAACAATAACAGTAGATGTGAGTAAGGAGCTCTGGTGGTGTAGTGATTAAGGCATTTGGCTGCTAACCGAAAGGTCAATTGATGGTTTGAACCCACCAGCTGCTCCACAGAAGAAAGATGAGGCAGTCTGCCTCCATTAAGGTTTACAGCCTTGGAAACTCAAAGGGGGTCACTGAGTTGGAATTGACTCAATGCAGTGAGTGTGAAGAAGTATCTCATTGTGGCTTTGAATCACACTTCATTTTTTGTGTGGTTTTTGGGGCCACTTCTATGCCTTTTTTTTTTTTTTTTTTTTGAGAAATTTCTATTCAGATCCTTTGCATAGTTTTTTTCTTAGTGTGTGTGTGTGTGTGTGTGTATGTAAGTGTTTATTTTTGTTGTCTTTATATCTTGCCTTGCACATTTTAAATTTAATTTTAAGTGGCTTATCTTTTTATTATTGAGTTGTAAGAGTTCTTCATATATTCTGCATAAAAGTCTCTTATCAGACATACATTTGTGAATATTTTCTCCCAGTCTACAAGTTATCTTTCCATTTTCTTTATGGTATCAATTGTAGAACAAATGTTTTGTCTTTTTGGTACTATATCAAAGAAACTACCGCCTCAAACAAGGTCCACCACTCATCGTCAGTTTGTCATATTATAGTGGTTATCACGTTGCTATGATTCTAGAACTTACGTAACCAGTATTTTCAGTATTCTCTAATACTACAATTCAAATGAATCAATTATTCTTCAATCTTCCTTATTCACTGTCCAGCTTGCACGTGCATATGAGGCAACTGAAAATGCCATGGCTTGGGTCAGGTGCAGCTTAGTCTTCAAATGACATTTTTGCTCTTTAACACTTTGAAGAAGTCTTTTGCAACAGATTTGCCCACTGCATTATGTTGTTTGATATTCTGACTGCTGCTTCCATGGGCATTGACTGTGGAGTTAAGTAAAATGAAATCATTGACAACTTCAATATTTTCTCTGTTTATCATGATGCTATATGTACTTGTTGGTCCACTTGTAAGGATTTTTGTTTATGTTTAGGTGTAATCCCATACTGTAGTCTTTGATCTTTATCAGTAAGTGCTTCAAGTCTTCTTCACTTTCACCAAGTAAAGTTGTGTCATCTGCATATTGCATGTTGTTAATGAGTCTTCCTCCAATCCTGATGCCACACTCTTCTCCATAGACTCTAATTTCTTGGATTATTTGCTCACATACAGATTGAATATGTATGGTGAAAGTATACAACACTGACACACACTCTTCTTTATTTTAAACCATGCATTATCTCCTTGTTCTATTCAAACAACTCCTTATTGATCTATGTACAGGTTCCTCAGGGGCACTGTTAAGTGCTCTGGAATTCCCATTTTTCATGATGTTATCCATAATTTGTTAAGATCCACACAGTCAAAAGACTTTGCATGCTCAATAAAACACAGGTAAACATCTATCTTGTATTCGTTGCTTTCAGCCAAGATCCATCTGACATTAGCAATGATACCCCTCATTCCACATCCTGTTTTGAATATGGATTGAATTTCATGCAGTTCCCATAGGTGTACTGCTGCAGCTGTTTTTGAATGTTCTTCAGCAAAATTTGACTTCTGTGTCATATTTGTGATATTTTAGATCTGGAAAATCCAAGTATTATCTCTCTGAATGACTAAAACTAAAAGATTAAACCTTAGGCATTGTCAAAAGTCATGGCTTTCCCTTTCAGCAAAAAAGAAGAATGGAAGAAAAGAAAATGAAGCTCAAATACAGAGAAAATAAAAAGCATCTTGATGGGGTTTAAGTCCTGAATCCTCTTCTCTTTTTTTACTTTGGGTCCAGCTTTATTATTGTAAATGTAATATTCTATATTCTGTAGATTTCTAGCATTTACTAGCATTTCTCAAGACCTTTCGACCCTTGCTTTAGGCTTCTTCAACAGAGATCCACCTTTAGTTCAGACTGGTTTTGCCAAGGTCAAGAACACAGTTCTTCTTACCTTACTATATGTATTATTTACAGCTTGTCCATATATTTTTCTAATAACTGACTACATTTCTAAGTTTCTTTTCCATGTTTAAAAACAAAAGGAGGAAAAATCCCTATTGTCTTAAGGTTTCTCAGATCAGGAACTGGTTGCTAATGGATATGGGGTTTCCTTTTGGAGTAAGTCAATCATCACCTACTTATGGAGTTTCCAGTAGATTCTAAGCTACAGAACCTCCAGTTGCCAATAAGTCTGTTCTGATTATGGTGACCCCATATGTGTCAGAATATAACTGTGTTACATAGCCTTTCTTTTCTTTTTAAGTCCTGGCTGATATCTACTTGTTTCTCAGATCAGGTCATATTGCTATCCTTAAGTTTGAGATGTCCAGAATACTCATAATAATATTTCCCTTTGCAGAACTACCATGTAACCCAAAATTTTCACTCCTAGTTATATATCCAAAAGTCTTGAAAGCACAGACATTGACCTGTACACCAATGTTCATTGCAGAATTATTCACAGTAGTCAAAATGTGGAAATAACCTAAATGCCCATCAACACGTGAATGGATAAACAAAATGAGGTCCATATACACAATGGAATACTATTCAGCCAATAAAAGAAATTAAGTGGAAAATATGGACAGACCTATAACAAAAGAAGAAACTGAAAAGGTCATAAAAAAAAAAAATTACCAACAACAAAAAAATAGCCTGGCACAGATGGTTTCACTGGAGAATTCTACCAAATATTCAGAGAAGAACTGACACCAATCCTACACAAACTATTCCATACCACAGAAAAAGATGGAATCCACCCAAATTCATGTCATGAAACACACATAACCTTCATATCAAAACTAGGCAAAGACACCACTAAAAAGGAAAACTACAGACCAATATCCCTCATGAATATAGATGCAAATATCTTCAACAAAATCCTAGCCAATAGACTCCAATAATATATCAAAGACACAGTACAACAAGACCAAGTGGGGTTCATACTAGGTATCCAAGGATGGTTCAACAAAACAAAAACAAGCAACGTAATCCATCACATAAGTAAAATAAAGGAGAACCACACGATCACATAAATAGATTCAAAAAAGTATTTGATAAAATCCAATACCCATTCTTGATTAAAAAAAAAAAAAAACTCTCAGAAAAATAGGAATAGAAGGGAAATTCCACAACATAATAAAGAGCATATATGCAAAAACAACAGCCAACATTATTCTCAATTGAGGGAGACTGAAACCATTCCCCTTGCAAATGGGAACCAC